CTGGCTAGTCTCGGGGCTGGGGATTTAGCTCAGCAGCACAGCACCTCCCTGGCAAGCGCAAGGTCGTGAGTTCGATTCCCGGTACCGGAAAAAAAAAAAAAAACAACAAAGCTGGCTAGTCTCAATAAAGCATGCTTATAAGAAGCTAGAGAGCAAGAAGACGAAAGATTATCCAAAACAATGTGTTCACATAGCTTGTTCCAACAGCCATATCCATTTTTATCCATCATACTTTAAAAAACAAAATGCATCGCATGCATAGCACATCTACCTGTTAATGTTCATGCTTACTAGCCCCATTCTCTCCTCTAACGCCTTCATCAAAAACCAAACACATGACAACCATCTTCCAAAGCCTAAAATCATTTTCTACATTTTCTTCACATACAATGGCAGAGGGCAGGGAAGCAGATCTCAAAGATGATCATTATAGAAAACCCAGTTAAATTCTAAATAAATCACAACGAATTCTTACAATTTCTGCTCAACTCAATCAACAGTATTTATAATTGAACAAATTTTAGATAGGTTATGCCTACCTAGAAGCTGTTCTTACTCCTGTTCAAATGTTTCAAATTAGAAATGTCATTCAAACAAAAAGCAGTATAGCCTTACGGTTTTTAAATCGAGGCCTTGGAGCCAGACAGCCTGGGTTCATAGTCCCAGCTGAGTAAGCTGCTTCTGAACCTCAGTTTACACAACTCTAAAAGGAGAACAATAATAAGTTTCCACACTATCAGGAAAATCAAATGAATCAGTGTATGAAAACACTGTACTAATCTAGCACACAGTCAGTAAGCAAAAAAATTATTTTCTTCTATTATTATTCAAAGTAATTAAGGGTATTAATTTAGTCAGAATTACTGAGGCGGTAATACAGTAGCAAACAAAATGTGCCATCTTCAAATGTCAAAACTGGGCAACACTGATACATATGAAATTAACACTAAAGAAAAATGTAGAATCTATGTATATATGGAAACTCAGTATATGACACAGCTGGCATTGTAGGAAAACTAAGGAAAGAGGGAAGTTTAACATCATACTGAGAGAACTGAAAGTCATTATATTTTTTAAAAAGATCTCCACCTCACATCCTACATAAAAATCAATCGCAAGTAGATTAATGATCAAAATGTGAAAAAATAAAATGTAAAGCTTGGAGAAAACGAAAGAAAATTTCACTGGCCTTTGCAAAGCACTACAACCCCAGCCCTTTCTTTTTTTTTTTATTTTTTTTTTCTCTCTCCTCCCCTCCCTTCTACTTCTCTTCTTTTCTTTTAAGACAGAGTCTCACTAAGTTGCCCAGGATGGGCTCAAAACTGTGATCCTCCTGCCTCACCTTTCCAGAATGTGAGGATTACAGGTGTGCACCAGCATGCCTGGCTTAGAAATATTTCTTTAGTAAGCCATACAAACCATAAAAGGGATGATAAATTCAATAGTATTAAAATCAAAAACTTTCTTCATTGAGTCCCTTTAAAAACACAAAAGCAAACCACATGCTGGAAGAAATAATAGAACACATATAAATAACAAGGATTTGAATCTAAAACTTTCCTACAAATCAATGAGATAAAAATCCAATAGAAAACATACTAACTGGCAATTTACAGAAGAAACATAATACTATATCAAAAAGCATGAAGGGCTAGAGGGTTTAACTCAGTGGTAGAGTGTTTGCCTAGCATGTGTGAGGCCTTAGGTTCAATCCTCAGCACTGGGGGCAGGGGGCACACATGAAGGAGACAGAGGGAAAGGAGACATGGGTGGTGGTGGATGGGTGTCCACAACTGAGCAAACAAGGAGAAGAGTGAGTCAGGTCCCCAGGATCACAGAGAATATTTTTAAAGGGATATGAAAAGTTACTCAATCTAATTAATATGTTACAAACTCTATGAGATGTCATTTAATATTTCAAGCAAATATTAAAGCCTCCTGGCAAAAATGTGGAGCAGTAAGAACTATACAAGTAATAAGAATGTAAACTGATGTAAGATACTGGTAATATCTAGTAAAGCTGAGGATGTGTATACCCTACAATGCAATAATCCCACTCATATTTCTATGTACATATACACTTTATGCTCTTTAATGAAACTCTTGAACATACATGCAAGTAAATACAGTACAAGATTACACATCATACCACTGTTTATGAGTGTCAAGAACTGCAAAGTCAAAAATGTACATCAACTGAATAAATAAATCAACCACAGCGTATTGATCTATTCAATAAAATATTTTAGTTGTGAAAATGAATTGTGGTAGACTGACTGCTAATCACTAGTGGTCATTACTCCCCCTTTCATGCCATTTTGCAGCATGTCTTTGTTGCTCCTCACAAGAGCTGCATCCCTCCAATGTGGGATGGCCTTGAATAAAAGGCAGTGAAAGTGACGAGCCTAAGTCTCAACATTTGAACGTTTTCTCTAGTTCCTTTGTAACTCTTCTCACCTATCAAGTGAACATGATGGGGCTAGAAATCACATGAAGCAGAAACAAGCTTCCTCTGTGGAAACATCTTGGCCTACCCTATCTTTAGCAGATGATCATAGATGCATGAGCAAGTCCAGTCAAGATCAGCAGGATCACCTGGGTGACCCACAGTCTCATGAGCAAAGATACAAGGTGTTATTTGAAATCAGTAAATTTGAGGGTTTACGACATGAATGAATTAGTGATACATGTCACACGAACGCATCTTTTTTTTCCTGTGTTGAGTCAAGCTGAACACATCTGACATACAATGTTGAATATAAAAAGCTGCACAAAAATATGATTATCATTGCATTCCCCTCCATGCTTTATTTTTCTACTTGGTACTTACAACACTAGCTAATAAAAGCAGGGATTTGCATTGTGTTTGTCATTGTTTTCTCAGCACCTAGAACAAAGACTGGCAGAAATTCTAACCCAAACCTCCCCACAAGACTAATGTGCATCCTGAACTGGGAATTGCTGTTCTTGTGGGAGTGAGTAGCACAGTAGCAGTTAACAAGATGGGATTGGCAAACTACAGCCTGTGGGCAGAACCTGACATGATGACTATTTCTGTATGGTCCACAAACAGGTTTGTTTTTTTTTTTTCGGTAGTGGGGACTGAGCCTCATGCATGACAGGCAAGCACTCAACCGCTGAGCTACATTCCTAGCCCTTTTCATTTTATTTTGTGACAGAATCCTCTCTTGATCCTCCTGCCTCACCTTCCTGAGTAGTTGCGATTACAGGCATGTGCCACCATCCATTATTCCTGAAAAAATTCTTAGAATACTTCTCAGATGAAGAAGTACAACTGGCCAATAAATAAATGAAAAAAGGTCCAACATCACTAGTCATTGGAAAAATGCAAATTAAAATAAATTCCATCTCACCCCAGAAAGATTTCTTGGCTACCATCAAGGAATCAACCAATAACAAATGGTGGTAAGGCTGTAGGAAGAAAGGAACCCTTCTTCACTGCTGGTGGAACTGTAAGCTAATACAACCACTATGGAAATCAGTCTGAAGATTCCTCAAAAAACTAAAACTAGAAACTTCATTTGACCCAGCTATTTCCCTTTAGGTATCTTCTCAAAAGGCTTAAAAACGTTGTATCACAGCAACGTATGCATACCTGTTTATAACAGCACAATTCATAATAGCTAAATCTTAGAATCAGCTTATACGTCCATCAACGAATGGGTAAAGAAAATATGGTACCTATACCCAACGAAGTAATACTCTGCCATTAAGAAAGATAAACGAGTCATTCGTATGAAAATGAAAGACTATAATGTTAAGTGAAGTAAATCAGACACTGTACAAGACTGTGTATCATATGGTTTCCTTTATATGAAAATTTAATAGGGAAGAAGAGGGAAAGAATAAAAGAGTAATTATATTCTAAGTATGTCTCTGTTGAGGTCTCTGGCTTCACTCTAATGTGGTCTGAGCTCATTTTGCAGGATTTATACTTCTTTGGCTATGTTGAGGTCTCTGTTATGAGCATGGTCTATTTTTTTTTTTTTTTTTTTAGCATGGTCTATTTTGAAGAAAAGAAAGTAAATTCCCACAGTGGGAAAGTCAATAGGGTTTGAGAATAGCTCAGTGGTGGCCTAGATTTAGGGGGAAAGGTTTGGGTGATGATGATTACTGGGTAGAGAGTATTTTGATTTGGGATAACAAAAATGACCTAAATTTGATTTTTAAAAAACAGTAATAATTTTTAGAGGTCACAATAGACTTGATGATAGGAACATCAATTAAGAAATATTAGCCTTTGAAAATAATTGTTACTACTTGATTTGTATTACAAAAATTTTTAGTCAATTACCAAATTACATTTTGAATTCTGTCAATTAAAATATAAAAATTTAGGGGCTGGGGATTTAGCTCAGCGGCAAAAGCGCCTGCCTGGCAAGCGCAAGGTTGTGAGTTCGGTTCCCGGTACCGGAGAAAAA